CCACGCTCTTGTTATGATCCTTCCAGCAGAAATATTTTGTTAAATTGTTTATGGGCCGGGTAGCTTTAAGCCTTTAACCCGGGCTTAAGTAAAGCAGGGCGCAGGCCCGCTTACAAAGTTGACACATACACGCTAGGTTTTCACTCGTGTAGTGTTTAAAATTTAAATACGTAGTCAAATTTAGGTCGAGGTTATAAATTGTTGCGTGGGTTAACGTGTGTTTTTTTTTTTTTTTATATTAACCTTTTAATATCTAGTAACCACATTAGGTATCGATTAATCTAAAATTAAATCGCATTGAACCTTATTAAGAAAAGTTTTCTCAACATTTATTTCTTTATTCACAAGACTTGAACACGATACTTTATTTAAAGAAAACCAAGTTACTTCTATTCAAGTCGTTGGTGTGTGTTATTTTGCTAATAATGAATCGCACCATTCTTTGGTTCCTTTTGAATTACAAGACATGAGGATGAACATTTTTCCTTTTTTTCATTTTTTTATGAAATTTTTTAATCTATATCCAAAGACTCAAGTTAAATTTTATTAAATACAATATTTATAATTAATTTTATATTAATTTTTATATCAAATTTAATTAAAATAAAATATAAAAATAAAATAAAATATTTATATTTATATTTGTAAAAAAATATAAATCTAACATAAAAATTTATACAAAATTAATTACAAATATTATAATTAATAAAATTTCACCTATGCCTAAAACACAAGTTTGACAAACTTTTTTTTATTTACATTCATATGCTTTTTAGAATAATTTTTCCACACTTCATGTCCTTCTCAGGTGATTTTGCACTTTCCACTCTACCCAACCTTAGCTTAGCGTTTAAAAAATTAATTTTTTAAAATATTAATTGTAAAACTTAAATTTTAAACTTCTATTATAAAATAACACGTATTTATTAATAAATCTAACTTTTAAAATTATGCAAGCATTTTTCTTACTCTACTCTAAAATACTATTTTAAGGGGTTTTTTTTAGGGGGGGTTCATTCCTTAAGTCACAAGCGCAAGTTGGTTGGCCTTTTGAACATTTAAAGGCCAGATGGAAACAAAATAAAATAAAATAAAATAAAAGTCATACCTAATAACAATAATATCTTTTCATGAGTAATTGTTCTTCCAAGTCATGCCTAGTCACCATAATTTTTATATTAAAAATATTACGTATACACTCATTAAAAAAAAAAAAAAGAGAGAATGTTATGGGCGGATACTATTTCAAAAATACCTACTGTTAGAAACTTTATTACTAGCTTAAATCTTAAATTTCTTTAGAATAACTTTCATAATTATTGCTATACACAATAATTCTAAACAAATTCGTATTATTATTTTTTAATTTGGACAATTAAAATATTCTCAAACCAATTTGTAAGTACATCAAAACTTAAAATACTAAATTTTGAGATTGTTATCCCATGATATTTTTCACATAACACCTTAATTACAATATCACACTTAGGGATGTCAACGGGTCTCGTGAGATTGGGAAGTCTCTCGCCGTCTCCATCCCCATTCCCATGAATGACAAGGACGAGGATCCTTATGGAGATTTTTAACAGAGGTAAATTTTATCCCTCATTTTTGTTCCTCGCAGGGAATGAGGATCCTCATTCCCCCTCATTCCCCACCAATTAATATAAAAAATAATTTTTTACATATAATTAATTAATATTTAATTATAATGAATAAATTTCTGAAAATTCAATTATAATGAATAAAATTCTAAAAATTCAAGTATAATTAATTAAAATTCTTTAAATATAAATCCAAATATAAATTGTCCAAACATAAATAAAGATTAATCCAATATAAATAATTAAAAAATTAATAATGGATTGGATAAAATTGGGTTAAATTTAAATTTTATTGAATTGGATTTGAGTTTGAAAATTGAATTAAATTTAAAATAAAATTAATTTACATATTTTTTTTAATTTTTCATGGGGATAGGGATCCCCACGGGGCCTAGCGGGACGGGAAAAATTCCCTGTGAATTTTCATGGGAAGAAAAGGCCCCCCATTCTCATCCCACAAAGATAAATATTTGTCCCCGTCTCGTCCCCATAACGAGGATTCCACGGAATCGAAGCAGATTGTTATCCCTAATCACACTTCCCTTTAATTCATATTTTAGGGTTTCTTACTATTCCCGCTTCTTATTGGTATGTTTTTATATTTTTATTTACAATCAATATGTACAAAATTCAATTTTCATGTATCTAAAAAAATCACTTTTTAAATAATTTTTAAAATATACCTCTTATATAAATTTGATATATTTAAAAAAATTGACTTTTTAAATATTAATCTTAAAATTTAAATTCTAAATTTAATCTATAAAACCTCATTAATTTATCAGGCTATTTAAGTCGTTGGAGTTAATTCTTATTACTAGGTAATCGGCTAACAGTTTAATAGTTCACATTAAAAAAAAAAAAAAAAAACACCTAAAAAATTGCGGAGAAATCTGTGAGGAGTGGACCCATAAAGCAATAAGCCCAAGTCATTGAGAGTATCTTGTCTTCTTCACTTTGCGGGGCTCACTGGCGTTGAATTCCAGCTATTGTTCAAGGCGAGGTACGTTCTTCTTCGGTTTTGGTCAGCCAACTGCGTTTTTCTTATCTTCACGAATTCAAATATGGAAGATTCTACTGTGGATGGATTATTAATTTCATCAAAATCATCAGATACCTTTTCCTTTTAAGTATCGATTTTTTTTTTTCAGTATTTGTTTTTTCTTGTTTTGTGCATATACTCTATGTATCCAGTCAGTATAGTTTTTTCTTTTTATTTTTTTTAAATGATTTGCCTTCTCTAGCCATGGTAGTTTTAGATTGAGTGACTTATTCGAAGCAGAATTTTATTATGTTAAATTTTTTATATAAAAGCTAAGAAACAAGTAGATTTATGTCTATTTCTGACAACTTAATTCTGTATATGATTTATGAGCTTACTTCTTATGTATTATGTGGTTGCTTGATTCTAATTATGGGTTAGAACTCAAAGAGATGATGGATCATAAATTCGTAATCTTAACTCTTGATGTTTCTCCTAAGTTTTTTCTTAAGATCATACAGAATATGTGCTGACATTAATTTTAATTAGTGACCAAGAAAAATTGATATATTCCCATGAAGTAATAAATAATTACACATTTACAGTAGGGACTTACTAGCATGTTATCTGGAGGTGGTTCTTATTTTAAAAAGTTTAATTAAATGTTAACTGATGCAAATACAAGACATCATGTGGCTGATTTCTTCAACCTTGCTTTGTTATAGAAAAAATGGATGGATCATCTAGCAGAGGCACGCGTGGTGTGGATATGAATTTACCGAATTATAGGCTTGGTAAAACTCTTGGCATTGGTGCCTTTAGTAAGGTCAAAGTTGCTGAGCATGTACCAACTGGGCATAAGGTTGCCATTAAGATTCTTAACCGTCGCAGGATTAGGAGCATGAGAATGGAAGAAAAGGGTATGTATCATTTGCTTGGATGATGGTTCCTGTTGATTCTTAAGTTAAACAGTTTTAGTGATCAACGCTTCAAATTAGACTGCCATTACAATTTGTTTACTTTTTTTTTTTTTTTCTATTCATGCAGTTAGCAGAGAAATGAAAATCTCGAAGCTGTTCATGCACCCTCACATTATACGAATTTATGAAGTGATAGAGACCTCAACAGATATATATGTTGTTATGGAATATGTGAAGTCTGGAGAATTGTTTGATTACATTGTAGAGAAGGGTAGATTGCAGGAAGACGAGGCTCGCAAAATTTTCCAGCAGGTGTGTTGGCTATCGTTTTTTAGAGTTTATGTATGATTTATTTCTTCTTAAGAATGAGTTGTGATTAACAAAGCCTTTCTCTGCAAGCAGATTATTTCTGGGGTGGAGCATTGTCACAGAAATATGGTGGTCCATCGAGACCTTAAGCCTGAGAATTTGCTTCTAGATTCTGAACGCAATGTGAAAATTGCTGATTTTGGCTTGAGCAACATAATGCAAGATGGCCATTTTCTTAAAACAAGCTGCGGCAGCCCAAACTATGCGGCCCCTGAGGTATGGAGTCTGTAAATTAAAATTTGAGATAGACATTTGCTAGGGTAAGGTTGGTCATATATATATATATATATATATAATTTTTTTTCCCTATTATTTAAGTTAGGAAATTTATATATTTTTTTTTATTGAAGTCTATTATGTAATAATCTTTGTGATTGCTTTATAGGTTATTTCAGGGAAATTGTATGCTGGGCCTGAAATAGATGTATGGAGTTGTGGAGTTATATTGTATGCTCTTCTTTGTGGTACCCTTCCTTTTGATGATGAAAACATACCAAACCTTTACAAGAAAATTAAGGTAAATGGGATAAATCTGCAACCTGTACTGCTTTAAACTTTAGATATCCTCTTAACATGTCATCATGATTCTGGTGCATTATATGGAATTCTTGATGCATTTATTGTTGAAATTCAGTGTCATATATCATGTAATCTGAGTTTCATGCATGCAGCTAATTTTGCTTTTTGCATTTCTCTAACTGTCAGATTCTGGAAATCTCTGGGATTTGTTCCCTTGTCTGTTGCCTTCTCCCATTCCATCCAATGCTTGGTTCTCGAGAGTTATATGTATTTTCTAATCCATGTTAGAATGTTATTAAAGTGCCTGGAGCAGTCTTCTTAAGTATACAATTTAAATTGTAAGCTATAATACAAGTTAACCACTATTTTACTTACTGCTATTCCAGGTTTCTTGTATTAGAAATATGAACCAGATAATTAATCATATAAATTTTCTTTAGTTTTTTCAATTAGTTGGGATTCACCACCTTTTTCCTTCAGCATGGCATGTACACTCTTCCAAGCCATTTATCTGCTGGCGCTAGAGATTTGATCCCAAGAATGCTTATTGTGGACCCAATGAACAGAATAACCATTCCTGAGATCCAGCAGCATCATTGGTTTCGGGTTCATCTACCACGATATTTAGCAGTTCCATTACCAAACGCCATGGAACAGGCCAAAATGGTTTGTATTTTTATTAATCTTGTTGACAAATTTAGATATAAACGTGACAATATATTGCTTGTTTTCCCAAAGATGGATTTATGTGGAAGTGACATTTCTGTTACCCGTACAATTTGCAAAAGAGTCATATGATCTTGCAGAAGTGAACTCTTTGTGTTTTTGGAGTATAGCTTTAATAGCTGTCAGAAATGTGGGTTTTACAAGGTAACTCAACTTACTAATTCATATAAAAAGAAAAATTGTCTTTTGAGGAAAAATATTTTCAGGCACTGAAAAAACAAGGAAAAAAGTTTGCAAAATAACTTTTCTGTTTCCAGGATAAAGAATGCTCTCTCTCCTGCACTCTCCCACATATACCTATATGAGTCAGTTATACTAGCTAGCTTTTTTAGTTATGTCAATTGATAAAGATAATTAAATGCAAATTTAAGATGCAGAAGACTATTGAACAACAATTGAACTATTATCTAGGTCATGACGAAATATTTACAAAGCTAATTGGTGATGCTGGGATCTTTCTTTTTCCATTACATCATAAGCATGAAAACTTTTGTAATTATGATTTGTGATGTCTAATTCAGACACACATGATTGCAGATTGATGAGGAGATTCTTCAGGAAGTGGTTAGAATGGGATTTGACAGGAGGGAACTTATAGAATTTCTTCACAACAGAATACAGAATGAGGTTTGTATTTCTCTAACTCATTATTCTCGGAGTTTCCAGATGGTTTCTTACTCCATTGACAATATCAGGCAACTGTTGCATACTACTTGCTACTGGACAATCGGTCACACGTCTCCACTGGCTATCTGCAAGAGGAGTTCCAAGAAACCCTGGTGATCTTTTTCTGCCTTTTAGGCTTATTTTTAGCATTTTAAAGCTAAAGGTGTTCAACCAATTATAAATTGGTTAATATATTTTTTTTCCTTGAAACTCATGATTGAATTGAATCTACTGTTTGGACCATTTTAATGCCTAGCTGCTTGATACTTTTTCTTTCAATACTTCCTCACTTTCATTGAGATATGGAGTCTCATTTAGAAATTTCTGTTTCAAAATATATTTTCAGGAACATGGTTTTAACCAGATGCATCCTAGTGAACCTGTTTCTCCTGCCATTGGACAAGGCCTTCCTGGATACATGGATGTTCAAGTATCACCACAATTGGATTTAAGAGGGCAGTCCCCAATTGAGAGGAAATGGAACCTTGGACTTCAGGTTGGATTTCTTGGTCTTAAGTTGTTTACATACCCACAGCACCTAGCTTGCAGCACATGTGATGTAATTGTGCAGGAGATTAGGCAATTGATTATTTGGAAGTACTGAAAGTTTAATGTTTCTTATTAAAATAATTTCTTGTCATATAAAAAGGAAAGTGTATTATTTCAGTCCTGTTAAATCTATATATGATTGTGTTGCTGTGTTGAACAGGATAGGAGATTCTGATTCTGACTCCATTTAATCTGAAGTGAAATAGGTTCATTTTTTGCATCATAGAAATTGTTGTGGCCATCTTTTGATTTCCTTTATTTGACAGTCTCGAGCCCATCCACGTGAAATAATGACAGAAGTTCTCAAAGCTTTGCAACAATTGAATGTGTGTTGGAAGAAGATGGGGAACTACAGCACAAAATGTATGTGGGTTCCTAGCAGCCTGGGTCGCCATGAAGGGGCAGTTAACTTTCCTGCACACAGCAATCATTACTTTGGGGATGAATCAAGCATTATTGAGAATGATGGTGTTACTCATTCACCAAATGTTGTCAAGTTTGAAATGCAGGTAATGCCTAATGATCACCGTTCCATTTGGTTAGCTTCTCAAAGCAATGGAAATTTAACCAAGAAATTGAATTCAACATAATCTATGTGAATGGGAATAAACAAAACATTTTTCGATGTTGTTTGAGAAATGTATTTTTGTGGCATGCGTGAAGTCCAAATCTAAGTTTTGTTCCTTTAAGTACTTTGTTTTACAATAGAACTAACCCTCTTTCCATCTCTTCTTATAGAAGATTATACGCTATCCTAGAACATTTAAAACACTTAAGGTTTCTTGGCTTCAATGCTAATACATCTTTCTGTCATGGCTGTTAACAGCTCTATAAAACTCGCGATGAAAAGTATTTACTGGATCTCCAGAGAGTTCAAGGACCACAGTTTCTCTTTTTGGACCTTTGTGCTGCATTCCTTACAAAGCTCCGAGTCATTTAAATACGATGGGCTATATTCCAATAAAAAAAAAAAACTTCCTGTACATGCAATCACATCATACGATGTATATAACTCATGTTCCTTCTTGACTTAACTTCATTCATCCCTAGTCCGTACCAACCCCCCCCTCCGGCGCCCCGACCCAACCATTTTAGTTGTGTAATTATTGTTTCAAAACAATGTTAAAAACTAGGGTTGGGGAAGTTGATGTTGGTCTAGATTTTGTAATAACTAGAGCTTGCTTTTTTTCTTTTTTGGGGTATTTTAAAAGTTAATTGTTTGAGATTGTAAAAATATGAACCTTTAACCTTAACTCTAAATTAAAAATTTTAAGTTTACTTTGTTCAGCTCTTGTTGGTATTGGTTAGGGCTTTCTTTGTTATAATTGTTATTCTTATTGTAGAAATTGATATTTTGGGAACTAGTAGTACTGTGGTTATTGAGATTCTTGACCGTCAAAATAACAATGACAAATCAAAATAGTGTTTCCAATTGGACTATACATTTTAAACTATTACATAGAGGTGGATTTTTTTATATTAATGATTGTTATCCCATTCAATGATTTTTATTTTATAATTTAGTATGATTTAAATGTAAAATAAAAACCTGTAAGAAATGAAGAAATGAAGAGCTTAACTAGAATGAAGAAATAATTGTGCGAGTGCTAAGTAGACAAGTACAGCAATACCATGGTGCAATCAAGAACCAACGGTGATAATTGAATACCCATGGTATGTTTATTTCTGATCTGTATGGTTTCTAAACTAAATTGTATATAAGTTGAAACGTTAGGCATTTAACTTAGCTTGAATGCGTTTCATATAAAACCAATTTGCTTAGAATGCGTTTCCAGGCCAAAAAGAAAATGGATTTTATATGAAACCACAATCTATAAATTAAGAAATGTTTTGAGACGCTTTTTTTTTTTTTTTTGGGAATATAAGTACTTATAGCTGGGTCGTCAGACTTTGATTTCATATAAAACCCTCACTAGATAAGAAGGCTTGCAATTGGAACTAAACCATAACTTCCCCTGGATTTGTAAAGTAAAATAAGAAACGAGGCACAAAGAACAACTCACCGTGTCCTTGGGGCTTGGGCGAAGATATAGTCTTCGAATCTTCCTCATCGGGTGGACAAGAAATCCACACTAGTGCATCATACTGCCTGGATTTGTAAAGTAAAATAAGAAACGAGGCACAAAGAACAACTCACCGTGTCCTTGGGGCTTGGGCGAAGATATAGTCTTCGAATCTTCCTCATCGGGTGGACAAGAAATCCACACTAGTGCATCATACTGCTTCTGTTTGGGATATTTAACAGTAAAGTAAAGTGTAATACAGGTCCAATAACCAATTTGAAATGTTTTTCCAAATGGGATGAGATTCACCATTGCAGCTAAAAACTAAAAACTTACCTGCTTCTCTGCTTTTCCTTGATGCACCAGTGTCCAAACTTCACTGCCTACTACCTTAAGATTTTTAACTCCAACCAGCGAATGTGGTTTATACAGCTAATTTTAATAACCTGTGGCCAACTTATGCGGAATCTAAAGAACTTGCTGTTAAACTCACTCCTTTATTTTCCAAGCCATTTATCCTTGCTTCAATTTCTTTTCAATTGCCTCTGATAGGATTTAACATACATTTTGAATCTCAACTGGGAAAGGCACCCTATACCCAACATTTGAACCTGGAAAAAGGCAATTCTGAGGATCAGCAATCATGCACTGAAATTAAGCAAGCAGTTAATTAGACAGATCTTCTTTACATTGATATCTTCTCTGCCAGCACCATGAATTTTGTAAAGAAAAAGGGCACAAGAACCACGAATTCTGCAATGACAATGTTGAATCTTGAGTTGGTTCAAACAGTGACATTTTGAAAAAATAAAGAGAATGATAATGAAAAAAATGAAAGAGAAAATACAAACTTCTCTATGGAGAACCCATGGCACAGAGAAGAATCATGATTTTGCAAGCCATTTGATGGCCTTGTAGCAACAGCATTTGTCTCAATATTTGATTGATCCGAACAGTCAACACCAGCATCCAGTACTCATCAATAACAGAATGCAACCCCTTGCTCATGCCTCTTTTTCGCCTTTTGCAATCTTGAATCCTACCTATATAATTTTGAACAATTTTGATGCCCTTGTTGAAGTGTACATCAAACTGATTCAGAAAGAGATCATATTGGATTTAATCTCCCACAAAACTTGAATGTAACATAGAATTAACGTGGCAGAACACAGTAATCCATATATGTTTATACCACTATAGAGTCCATGTTTAGTTTATAATTAAATCAGATACTCTTCTCCAAATCCTAGCAGATGCAGCATCTGATTTAGCTTAAGTCTCTAGATATCATAATAGAGAACTGCAACCTCAAAGAAAATTAAATCAATTACAGCAATCTATACCTATTGATAATGCTTCTAGAGGCTTTACCACAGCAAATTTCTGAGCATCCTTAAGAAAAATACGTTCTGAAACTGGCTTTTCCTGAAACCATTGTTCAGATCCATATTTCCATTTCATATCCAGCCTACAAAAGTTTGACTAGAAATGACTCCTCAACTGTTCATATTTAGAATCTGAGTGATCAGATTATGCATCTAACAGTTATATAGCACACTGCTAACATGCTTTTCTTGGTGCTTAAAAACTAAAACTCCAGATTATAAGCATTAGTAGAGACCACAAGAGAAAGGAAAAAAGAAAAAGGGAAATCTATCAGAACCAAAGGAACGTAAATAAGGAATCAATTCAACTGTTCATATTTAGATCCGAGTGATCAGTTTATGCATCTAACAGAAAACACAGCTAATAACCAAAACACCAGCTTAAGGAAAGAAGAAAAAATGGAAAAAGATATCATAAGCCCTAACCAATGAAACGAGAATTATTACCAAAAAAGAGTCAAAGAGCTCTTACAAAATCGCGCACTCGTTCTCCAGGGTTACTTGTGCTACAGAGAAGCTCGATCTGATGACATTCGTGGTTCAATTGATACAGCCATATCACTCGTGCTCTCCTTTTTCACCAGCGTTTCTTCATCGCGATACTTGAATTGCGATAAGACTAAACAAATGCTGCAGAATTCCGACTCAGCCTCTGCTTCCGAAGACATTGGTTCTTCTTGAACTGAACGCACTACTGACTGTGAAAATGAAGAACAACAATACATCTGCTGTTCGATTCGAGTAGCCGAGAGATGCATCTAACGCATATCTGAAATTAAACATAATAAACACTTCAAAAACACTAGAATAACTCAACCGAACTTGATTTCAGTCAGGTAATCAGATCGAAAGAGAACGAAACCCTAGAAATCAAGAGAATTACGAATGTCGACGGAGAGTAGGTCCTTGACGGCGTAAGAAGGCAAGGATCGAACTGCATTGCTGCGAAGCTGCATCTCCTCGTCGCCGGAACTGAAGCAATTCTTCACTGCGGCTGAGCTGACGCTAATCGTCTCAGCCTCAGCCTACGGAGCGTCACCAACCGGCACGGATTTTGCCTAGCACGACATTTCAAATTTGCTCTCATTGGTTTATCGCTGCAGTGTACTTAACCGCAGTTCTTATACTACACCTGGTTTTAAAAGGTGAGGACTGAGGCGTACTGCAGAAGTAAAATTCTTAACATGTTTATAACCGTCAGATCCTGTTTCGGATAATCTGGACCGTCGAATAAGCAAGCTCACGATAGAATGCCTCAGGCGTACGGTTAGTTTTGTGATACAGTGAGTGATAGTATATTGACAATTTTTTTTTTTCGACAAACTGACTTTAAATATTTTGATAATAAATTTAAGATATCTGCGCTGCATTAAATGAATAAATACAAATGCACTTGGTGTTCTAAGTCAAATCACTACAAGTCATATTAAGAAGTGCAACCTCATCTTCTAAACTGGGTTTCAATCCTTCCCCCTAAAAGGCTGTCATTTGTTAAATAAATAAATAAATATAAATATTGCAACCAGCTTATTTAATTCATAAGTTCCAACTTTTAAAAAACTGTTTGGAACAATCTTAAAATCTACAAAATAAGACATCACAAGCATATTTCATTTTGAGAATAATTTTGAGATTGCAAATCGAGAGACTGCAAGTCACTTTTCTATTTTATTTTACATGAATTGTCAAAACAATGCTTATTATTATTAGTTTTTCTTTCTGGTCTTAAGGAACAGGTAGGCCAGGTTCCATGTACGAACCCCACAATACCAGCAATGGAGAGTAAACTGGCATTGCCACCGGATCCTCTACAATGGATGGTTCAAATATTGCTCGCTCACGTAAGCCAATGTTAAGAACTACGGAAATTGAGTCACCTTATTACTGAGAAACTGATAGACTCATATTTGATGCATTCAGCTAATTTACAGTGATGAAGCCAAACCATGGAGATCAACGTAGCCTGACAGCACAGTTCGGTTTCTTTCTTTCACAGTTGCCTGATATATGACCCTGCAGGTTATAACATCAAATCTGAGATATTCACTCAATACGATACAACAACAGCAAAGCTCAATATTGATCTTTGGGTTTCATCAATGGCAACAAAGAAATCATACCTCAAGCCTTCAAGCCACATCTCAGTAACCAAGGTTTCACCAGGGAACACATGTAAAAGGAATCGGCCAAATATGCTTTTTACCATATTTGGATCTCCTCTGCATAGAGATTTGATGATGGCCCTAACTGCAAAGCCAAGAGTGCACAATCCATGCAAAATTGGCCTCGAGAATCTTTCAAGATGAAGGGGAAAAGAAAAACTGATCAATATAAAGCTTAATTAGAGTCAAGTGACCATACGCAAGGATGCAAAGACAAAAAATATCCAATGGAAGTTATTACCACTACAAAAACAATTCACATCCTAATAAGGTAATAATGCTCACCGTCACAAGTACATGAAAGGAGGAATATAACTACAACAGCATATCTCAAATCTTTAGCTAAAGCAAGGATCACTGTCATTCAACTGGACTTTCTCTTCATACCTAACATAACAACTAAAGTTTGGAATATAGTTAATTGCAATATTGGGAAATGATAACACAACAGGTTGCAAGAAAAAGAGATGCATGGTCTGAACCCCAATGGAACCAGATTTTCTGACAAATAGGGATGAGGATAAGATATTTGATCTATAATGCCTTCACATCTATGCTACTGAAGTCGAAGCAATGGTGATCATCTAAAATATTCATTAACATTTTACTACGGTTTGAACAACCCCTCACCTTTTTAAATTTAAAGTCAATTCCAAAACCTGAAATTTATATTTTTTATCTTTATAACAATAGTCATAGAACAAAACAGAAAGATGGCAAGTTAAAGAAACAAAATAGTTTTGTGGTTAAAAGATGCACTAACCCTGCAACTTTTGCTACCATAGGATCCGAATGCAGAGGATTATAGTCACCAGATAGCCGATACAGTAATGCCTGCAAAAGAGAACAACAGAAGTTCAGAAACTTCTAAAGAAGACTGAGTAAAGAAAGTAAATCCTGTGCCTTCACAGACAGATTCTGAGTCCATTCAGCCACAGTTTAATAAATTTATATTGAGAAAGAGAAATGACAAAGACCAAGGTTTAAAAACAAAAAATTATGCCTGAGATGGTTGGGTGAAATCCTCAAATACCGCAAAAGGTTGCACTTTAGGTATTTTCACACCTGAAACCTGGTTGGTTGGATAGCTTGAATATGAATATGGTTGAGATGGATCTGAGAAGCCACCAGCACCCCGCAGATAGACAGTTGTCCTAAAAAAACCATCTTAATTGAGCAGAGAGCAATAAACATGACAATTAGGCTTGTATATTCCAGAACAAAGGACTCACCTGTTCATGCATAGTAGTTCACCAGATTCTTTTTCATAACTTCTGGTTTCAATCTCAAGAATAGCAGCTTTACCTAAAAATAAAACAAGAAGGGGAAAAGGCAGTCAAGATCTTTGTACCATGTATATTCATGGGAACAGCTAAAAATGCATCATGTTAATAAGTAGGCAGCAATTAACAGTTTGCTTCACCATTTCCCAGTTTATCAACATGTTAACAAATAGGGAGTAACTAAGAACTCATCTGCATGGCCAAAAAAATAAATAAATAACAACTCATCGGTACTAAGTATAAGCATAAATTGCATGAGGAAATACAGCCTTAATTTTTTCCTAAACAAAGTTCTGTTATCCATATCAAAATTGTTAACTCAGGCATTTGAGAACATTAATCAGTTGATAATATTCTTGTAATGAGTACAAACCTTTATCATGCAATCCCGCAAGACTGACTTTATTATGTAGCTGCACCCAAAAAAAGTACCAGATGATTACTAAAATATTAATAGATCCCTCGTGCACATTTGTAAACTTTGTATTCTAGTTGTGGACACACATGAATAAGTTCATAAAATAATGCTTTTAATCTGCTTCACTCTTTATAGATTTGGTTTATGCCTTACAAATAAGGTTTAAGAATGCAACTAGAAAGAGCCTGCTATCAATTTTCCATGGGCAACCTAGTGAACCAGAACATGTAAACCAACTTTGAAAAACATCCAGCCAGTTAGAGATTAACTGATGCATGAAGAAGCCAAAGACAATTTAGTTCATAAACAAAACAAAGAGCTGCATGGATCATACTCTAGCATTTGAAGGAAATGGCTTGTAAATCTCTATAAATTGTTGCCCGTGCAACATAAGACGTGGATCATACCTGATAAGAATGAAAATCAAGTAAGTACATCAGTGTAACCCCTTTCCTATGTTGAAGGAAAAAAAAAAAAACTAGATGGGAAAAATTCATTGCAAATTAAAATGAGGCTGTTTGGCCTAACTATAGCTTTTGCAGAAGTACTGAATCATGCATCCATATAAAATAATCATAATAAACTTTATAAATTGATTAAAAAAAAAATTAAATTCAGAAGCTTAATAGCAAAAGCTCTACTTCTACTTCTAACCCTTCAAAACCTGAAAACAGCTTTTAGAAAAGCCAGAACTATTTTTTAGAAAAGTGATTTTGGCTAGCTACTTATACAGCAGAAAAGCTGAGTCAAATAAGAACTGAAGAATTTCTCAATGTCTAATATGAATCAGAACTTACTCCAAACCTGGTAGATGGACACCATTTGGCAGAGAGCCAAGTGAAAACAAAGCCGCAAATGTTGGCAAAACCTGAAGAGGCCGGAAATGGAATCACCATCTTTAGTATCAATAACCATCAAACACCTTAAATTAACAAAAGAAATTGATTAATGCCTGGATAAATTGCTGCCCGTTTTCATGGTAGACATATTTAAGCTCATCGGCATCAGTGGCATCCCGCGCGCACGCTCCAACGCCCAAAGCATAGAGTGCTGCATCTCTGTTCAAAGATTACACATAAATTACATCAATCCATCTCAAAATAAGGATGAATAAATAAACTGTACCTTTCAGTGTATGTGTATTCCGTCTGCAGACAAAACAAGAATTTGTAAGCTTTTAGGGGAGCAATCTCGATGAAATGAGGCGAGCAAATTCTATGAATTCGAGAGAAGAGGAGCGGATACCTCAGGGAATTTGTGAGCAAGAAGGCGATCTGAATCGAAAGACGAAGAATCCGCCATGTTAGATACTGACTCGTCAACTGAAGCGGCCGAACTGCTTACCCGTGGCTGTGTGTAGGCGAATGGACTTTGGAATCGGGACGCCAATGTAGGTGACGAGGCAGTTCAGACGTGGGGTGTGTCCACCTGGATTTATGTCGTTTTAACGTTATCGGTCAATTATCAAATCAAAACCGAACCGACTCGCCCAATAGGATCGGCTCAAACTTATACTTTCAAAAAGATAGGTTGGTTTAATTTAAAAACCACATTAACGACTGGATTTTCAATAAAGTGGTTGAGTCACGCTTAACCTTGATTTAAATCTAAGGGTCTGTTTGGGGCATAGTTATTGCCACAAAATATTGTTTAAGCCAACACACAATGTGTATTTAATTTAATTAATTTTATCAATTTATAACTATTTTCTTAAACAATTGGTTAAGATGTATATTAAAAAACATATTTGTAAAAATAATATTAATAAAATTTATATATCTTAATAATATTTTGTATGATAGTAACTAGGGCTGAGCACTATACCATAAATGCCACAATTACCATTGTACTGTCACGTTACCTAAGGAAACGGTATAGTAAATTACCATATGATAAGTCTAAATGGTAATATGGCAATACCATTTAGATGTGGTAAGGTATTGATATTGGAGGTTATTACCATTTTTATCGT